CTCTCCAGGAGTTCTGGTGTGTCCCATCAGCAACCCTGTGAAGCCCTGGGAGAGGTGTCAGCCATGCGGATCCTGTACCTGCTCTTCCCCTTCTTCCTCCTGCTGGTCCAGGGAGCTGCAGGTGAGAGGGGGAAAGGGGAGATGGGTGAGGTGTTAACCTTTCTGCAGTCACACACTTCCCTCCCAGATTATTGTTTTAACTCTTTCCCTGTGCATTATTTTCCGTGGCAGCTGGAAAAGTAGACAAATGCATAAAACGAGGAGGAATCTGCGTTTTGGGGGGCTGTCGTTTCCCCTATAAATACGTGGGAACTTGTTCAGCCTTGAGTCACTGCTGCAAACCGTAAGTTCTGGAAATGCTTTGCTCCTATTGGTGGTTAAAGTTAATATTTTCGTTCAAGCCAGCTCCTACCTCACAGTTTCTTGTGTTCATGCTCAGAGGTAAAAGCCAGGGAAAGAAAGGAAAAGTCTTTGTGGGTTTGGATGTGCCATGAGTGGGGCTGAAGCAGCTCCAGGTCAGGCAGTGCCTCCCCACACGCCTTTAGCCCCACAAGGCTGGCCCACTGCAAAAGCAGAGGGCTCGGCTGTGTTGCCCAAAGGAGGAGGTTGTCCCTGGGATAGTGTGAGGAACAGGATCCTGCTCCTGATATTTGTAAACAGTCTTGAAGCCAAGGCTGCCACCACCAAGGAGAGCCCAGAGCCAAGACAACTGGAGTTCACCTCTGTGAGGTTATCTCCATGAACTTGTTGGCAATGCAGGAGAGGTGGGAGAGAGTGGGAAGAAAAGTTAAAGTAAAGAATGTGCTCCTATGCTTTCTACTTGCAGTGTGTGGGGTTGAGACCCTGAAATTTCCGAGCAGGACGTTCCCCTCGCTTCTGGCTCCTGGAACCATCTCTTGATGTCCTCTCCCCTCCCTGCCTCTGCCTTGCCCGGCTGCTGGGACAGCAGCAGTGGCAGCTGCTCCTGCTGGGTGCTGCTGGGCTGGAAACATCTTGTCCCAGCCGTGGGCTCTGTGGGGCAGAGGCTGCTTTTCCCAGCTTGAATAAAGATGAGCAGTTTGGCATTGCAGGGGTCGGCCGTGTGTGCATGTCCTTGGGATGGAGGGGGTGCTGTGCCTGCTGGCTGTGGGGGTGGCAAAGGTGGATTGTTGTGAGGAGAAGCATCTGGGGATGCTGGGGGCCAATATTTGTGCTCAGCTCCAACCTCCCCACAGTCACATCTTCAAGAGCAACATGTCTCACCTAGCAGGACTCTCTCACCCTAAATTGGTGCACAAAGTAGCAGAGAGTGGGAAGGACCAGCCTTACTGGCTCCCCAGCTGCTTTCCCAACACTGCCTGCACTAGCACATCTGGAAAAACAGGGGACTCCTCACATCCCTCATGCCTGACCTGGCAGTGCCATGATTGGTGTGACCTCTGAGGGAAAGTCCTTGCCCAGCCCTTGCAGGGATCTTGCCTTGCAGGGTTGAAGCCTGAAGCCACCACAGTGGAAGCCAGGCTTCTCTCTCCAGGGGCTCTATCCATAGCAAGTCTGTGTCCTGTTGGAAGATCGCTGGAGAAACACTTTTCTCATCAATGCCTCCTGATATTTGAATCACTCCCACTAATGTTGTAACTTCCAGGGACATGGAAAACCCCAGTGATGGGTGATTACACTTCCTCCAACTACCCACTACCCCTCTCACCTGCAGCATTCTGGACCAGCAGCAGGAGAAAGGCGAAGAGCAGGTACAGGATCTTCATGGCTGATCCACCTCTCCCAGGTCTCCACAGGGCTGCAGAGGGGACACCAAGGCAATGAGGACATGGAGGACCCATGGGGGTGCAGAAACCTGGCCACTGGGGTTGTCCAAAGTGCAGAGGGTCTGCCTCCACACACAGCACATGATCTTTCCTCTACCTTTCTCTCAAGAACAATTCTGAGGTTTGTGCCACCTTGCAAACCTTGGGAGTGTTTCCTCCTGTCTCGGTCTCTGGGAAATCCATTCCCTAAGACGATCCTTTTCCATTAATTTTCTCAAAGGTCTTCCAAAGGCCTTACCAACACCACACACTGCAGACTTGGGGCCAACTCTTCCCAATTCAATCAAAGCAAGAGCCAGTCGTCTTTAGACGATTCCCAGGCTTCTCAACAAGGACACTTCCCAGTCTCACTCTGGCCACCCCTGTCCTGTGCAGCCCCGATCCAGGAATGAGCCAGAGGGCAGAGAAGTGTCTTGGTGCCCAGAAATGGAAACAGAAATCAACCTTTGGAGTTACTGAAGCCTGAAAAGGTGGGAAATCTCTCTACTGCTGTGGGAAAACCATGTCCCTACATTGCTAAAGAAAGTCTCTATTTTCCCAAGAAAGATCTCAAGTCCCTCCTGCAGCATCAAGGCACATTTTCAGTCTCTCCTCTACTTTGGAAAACTTAGTTTCACCTCCTACATGGTCTCAAATCTTAGACTCATATGAAGGTTTTTATTCTCTTTCTCAGGCATCTCTGATGGCCCAATAACACACCTGGATACTTCCAGCTGTTTGTCCTTTAGGTGAGTCTATGGAGATGGGCTTTGAGCTGGGAACCTGAATGGGGAGGTTTCCAGGAAGACACTCCACAGTCACCTACCTGATGAAGGTCTTGGTGTTCAGGCAGCAGCAAAACCAACAGGAATCACTTGTGTCCAGATGGCCTTGGGGTCAGGGAATGCTGCTTTTCCTAAAACGCCCTGGTTTTGTACCCCTCCTGGTGGGTGGAACATGCCCTTATTGCTGTTGACACAAGTGCCCTTGGCCAACCAGGGAGTGCCCCATCAGTGTGGGGGTGCTGGGGCTGCCCCTCGTCCCTCCCTGCTGCAGTGGCAGAGGCTGAGGTGCCTCCTGGGGCTGTTGCAATGTCGCTCTTATCCTGCTGCAACACGTCCTGTGACACACAGGCTGGGTAGAAACCCCTGGGATTGGGGAACAGCTTTGCTTTGCAGAGGTGAAGGGTGCTCGTGGTGACTGCTCAGGGTCAGTGTCAGGAGAGGGGAGCACAGCGGGAGGAAAGGCCAAGGCAGACAAGGCTGATCTGAATGTCTCTCACTAAACCCTCCAGCTGTGGAAAGCAATGGCAGTGGAAACTGTTTCGGTTCAGTCCCTTCTCCCAGGAAACAATTGACAGAACCAGAGGAAATGGCCTCAAGAAGTACCAGGGAAGGTTCAAATTGCTTATTAGGAACATTTCCTTTGCAGTAAAGGTGGTCAAGCACTGGAACAGGCTGCCCACGGCAATGGTGGAATCACCAGCCCTGTGTAGATGCGGCACTTGGGGACATGGGTGAGTATTGGGCTTGGCAGTGCTGGGGGAGAGGTTGGACCCAGTGATCATAGAGTGCTTTTCCAACGTTAATAATTCTATGAATTGATGATTCTTGGAAGGGAAAGCCTTTACTGAAGTTGCCGCAGTCACCAGTTGCTCCCAAATACACACAGAGATGGACGCAAACACATACTGATTCCACTTGGGGAATCTAAACCCTCAGATTTGCTTTTGCAGACAGGGAGAGGCTGCTGCCCTTCATGGCATGTGGCATTGCCATGCCAGACTGCCTACAGCTGGGCAGAGAGCAGAACACAACCTGTTTATGGCCCATGGCTAAAGAAATTTGAACATTTCCAGACCAAGGTCCATGGGAGACATTCCACGGGTGACTCAGACCAGGAGGTCGATGCCTTCCTCCTCCTCTTGCCTGGTGGGATGGGGTGTGGAGCAGCACAGCTCCTGCACTGCCCACAGCAAGGGGGGCTGAGCACAATGGGACAGGACAAGGAGCAGCATCAGGGACAGGTCGTGTGGGCAACCATGGCCATGCCCACCCAAGGGACACACCCCCCAGAACAGCTCTGCACATGAACCCCTGGTTTCCAGGGCAAGGAGACACCTGTGACTGGTAGGACCAGGACAAAGGTCCCACTTCCCAGAGGAAGCATCTGCAGAGCAGTTCCATCACTCCCACAGGAAATCCCCTGCACCAACAGGCACTGGCAGGCTCTGTGTCCACACCCCAATGCCAAGCAGGAGCATCCCCAGGGACACACACACTGGGCACTCCCAGCATTCCCAGATGCTTCTCCTCACAACAACCCACCTTTGCCACCCCCACAGCCAGAAGGCACAGCACCCCCTCCATCCAAAGGACACGCACACACGGCCCACCCCTGCAATGCCAAACTGCTCATCTTTATTCAAGCTGGGAAAAGCAGCCTCTGCCCCACAGAGCCCACGGCTGGGACGAGATGTCTCCAGCCCAGCAGCACCCAGCAGGAGCAGCTGCCACTGCTGCTGTCCCAGCAGCTGGGCATGGCAGAGGCAGGGAGGGGAGAGGACATCAGGAGATGGTTCCGGGAGCCAGAAGCGAAGGGAACGTCCTGCTTGGACATTTCAGGGTCTCAGCCCCATGTGCTGTACAAAGAAAGCAAACAAGCACGTCAGCTGTTGTAACTTTTCCTCCCACTCTCTCCCACCTTCCCTGCAAGAACCATCCAGTCTGTGGTACAGGAGACTCAGGCTCAGCACAGAGGAGGCCCAGTCCTTCATGCAGACAGTTTAGACCTGGTTTATCTTAGTGGTGGCAGCCCTGACTCCAAGTCTGTGCAGATGCAGCAAAACCTGAATCATGTCCTGCAAAGCCTGGATGAGCCTCCTGGCACTGGAGGAGGTTGGGGAGGCACTGACTGACCTGAGGCTCCTGCAGCCCTCCACAAGGTCTTTTGCCTTCCTTCTTGGGCCTCTCTCATAGACCATAAATGCAGGAGATTATTTATCAAGTGTTAGCTAGAAATAGATTTCTAACAGATCTTTCTTTGGAAAAAGGAGGAAAATGTTTTTTCTGCCAGGGTTGTAATCCCTACCTTCTGCAGCACACAGTGACTGATGAGCATCTTCCAATTGGGGTTGCAGGGTAGCGGCAACCCCCATAAGTGCAGAATCCCCCTCGCCGTCTGCATCCAGCTGAACTTCCTGTTTCCATGGGCAAAGACACACTCAGAACAATTACAGTGACAATCTGGGACAACAGGGTGTTATGCAGGACAGCTGAAACTGCCCGTGTATTTCAGGCCAATAAATCAGCTCAGCTCAAAACTCCCCCCAGACACATCTTCCATAGCAAGGAGGACTCTTTCCACCTACACTGGGTGCACACAGTAGCAGAGAGTGGGAAGGATCAGCATGAGGTCAAGGAGGAGCCTTGCTGGCTCCCCTGCTGCTTTCCCAACACTGCCTGCACCAGCACAGCTGGAAAGCAGGGGACTCTTCATATCCCACGTGCCTGTCCTGGCTGTGCCATGACTGGTGTGACCTCTGAGGGAAAATCCTTGCCCAGCCCTTGCAGGGATCATGCCTTGGAGTAATGAGATTTATGCATCACAAGATGAGAGGGGACATCATTCAGACACTTAGAAAGGAATGGCTGGGTGCAGAGTTGGAGCCTGAAACCAATCTCCTGACCCCCAGGACAAGCCAGTCTTGTATTTCCAGGGGTTTCCCACCCCTCGTCTGTGTCTGTTGTAAGTTCACTTGAAAAACTCCATTCTCCTCAATTCCATATAACATTTGCATCCTTTCAAGTAATGTGGTCAATTCCAAGACGTGGAAAACTCCAAGGATGGGGGCTCAGAGTTCCCTCTAAATCCCCTCTTCCCCTCTCACCTGCAGCACTCTGGACCAGCAGCAGGAGCAAGGGGAAGAGCAGGTACAGGATCTTCATGGCTGATCCACCTCTCCCAGGTCTCCACAGGGCTGCAGAGGGGACACCAAGGCAATGAGGACATGGAGGACCCCAGGGGGTACAGAAGCCTGGGCACTGGGGTTCTCCAAAGTGCAGAGGGGCTGCCTCCAAACACAGCAACAACTTTCTCTAAGGTCTTCCATAGGCTTTCCCCGGAGAATAGACTGCACACCTGACCCCAATTCTCACCAATTCAAT